TAAAGACAGACACACATGCTTTTGGCTATGAACAAGTCTGGCAGCAGGCCAGAGAAATTTGTAGGAACTCCTTTCAAACTAACATTCTTCTCACACTCTTGAGAAAAAACAGTTTTTGGTTCATTAAAATAACCTATCATCCCCTTTGCCCTCAATTTCAGATTTATAAAACATGGAAAGCAAAATGGCATTGTATACCCCTACCCAAGTGAATAGCTGAGTGGATCTAAAAATGTGAACTTTGACCTTAGTTATCTAAAGAACATATTAAGATAACAAATGCAATGCTGAATAATGATAGAATGGATAAAGACACAAAACTCTGGCTTTAGTTTTTTTTCATACTAGATCCAGCTGGTTCTTTGAACTTGCTGGACAACTACTAAATTTGCCAATTAATAAACAATGTAGATTTAAGCCTCCAAAAGACATAAGCTCCAATCGAAACTTACACACTAGTTAATTGCTAACAATTGTGAAAGCCTAATCAAATTTAAAACATGATTTAATGCCCTTTGCACATATTTATCTCTAAGCAATACTCTGTACTTGCCAGGTTATGTCAACATATTTCTCCTATGGTTGTGATACACTTGAACTTTTTATGCTTCTCTGACGCTGTTAAAGTAATGTAGATAAGTGACATGGTTTGAAACTTATAAGAACATATGACATAAAACTGATTCTTTTCTTCTAAAAAAACTAACAGTCTCTAAAATCTTTATCAGTAATTAACAAGAGAAAATTTAAAAGTGAAAGTGTTAGGTAATGCACACTTGATTTGAGATCTTACTCTCTCCATCTCCCTAGCAGCTTTATTGAGTTGTTTCCCCCATGGAAACATGGGAATCTGATCAGTAACTGGACCAGCTTCCCCCAGGCCTGTTTTATTTCCCCCAATATACAGCAAAGTTGAAAAGAGTTTAGAGTGAATACTCATATAAGCACCATCTAGATTTTACCATAATATCTTATTTTTGGTAAAATATCTTATATTGTGGTAAAATATACATAAAATTTATTATCTTGGCCATTTTTTAAGTATACAGTTCAGAGGCATTAAGTATATCCATACTGTTTTACAACCATCACCACTATCCATTAATGTTTTACTGTACATATCTGTCCCTCTGTACACTAAGGTTATTTATGCATTTCAAAGTAAATTATACGTATCAGAAACCTACTTCAGCTTGCATATTACTAAAGTTCAATATTTTAGTGTTTTTCTTTTGATGTAAATTTACATAAAATAACTACACAATATATTCACTGAGTCACACACACACACGCCTATGTAATTCCATAAAACTATACTCAGAGAGTTCCCTTATGCTTCTTCCTATTCCATAAAACTATACTCAGAGAGTTCCCTTATGCTTCTTCCTATTCAACATCCCAGAAACAACCACTGCTCTGATTTCTTCCCTATATAGAAGAATAGTTTTCTTCTCTCTCTCTCCCTCTCCCTCTCCCTCTCGCGCGCATGCGACAGAGTCTTACTCTGTTGCCTGGGCTAGAGTGCAGCAACCTCAAACTCCTGAGCTCAAGCAATCCTCCTGCCTCAGCCTCCCGAGTAGCTGGGACTACAGGCATGCGCCACCATGTCCGGCTAATTTTTTCTATATTAATTTCTTTCTATTTATAGTAGAGACGGGGTCTTGCTCTTGCTCAGGCTGGTTTTGAACTCCTGACCTAGAGCAATCCACCCGCCTCGGCCTCCCAGAGTGCTAGGATTACAGGCGTGAGCCACCTCGCCCAGCCCTCAACCAGTCTTTAACAGTTAAGACCCTGAGGTATCTGCCACTATCATAAACAGTGCTACAATAAACATCTTTGTAGTTATTTTTGCACATAATTTTTTTAGAATAAATTCTTCAAAACAAAATTGCTAGAGCAATTCTAGGTCTTTGTTACGTATTGCCAAACTGCCTTCCAGAAAGGTTGGAACAGTTTACACACCTGTCACCAAGCTATCTGCCTGCCCATTTCCTTGCATTCTTACCAATCTGGGTAATAAGACACAAAAGCTATCTTCAGCAAATTAGGTATGTGAGGCATGGATCTAATTCTTCCCCAAACTATTAGAGTCTATCATACCATAATTACTAAAGGCTTCATTATGAACTGGCACATAATATACTATAAAACAGCAAAAGAAAACAGTATACCATTAATTTTTTCATTGCTTCTTTTACCTCTTTTCCCCAACAATGTTAGGACATAATTACAGAACTGTTTTTATCTTAAGAGAGACTATTCAGACACACCCTATTTAAAACTAGAGACTGATGCATTTTACTGAAATGGTTTACATTTAAAAAGATTTAGTCATAAAGTAACATAATTTAAAAAGGGTTTCAATTCTGAAACCTGTAAGGAAGACCTTTCAGCTTCTTGCTCTAATTTTACCAGTCTTCTTTAATTATCATCTAAAAATATCTACTAATCATAGAATCTGATCAGTGACAAACATCCTAAAATTCCATAGCCCTTTTCATCTCTCACACTAGATTAAATAACTTAGTTGAGAATTACTATTAAGTAGTATTTACACAGTACTTATTTATTACAATACTATAAAAGCAGGGCAAAATAATTATCATCACATCAACAAAGGAAGATGCTAAACCAGTTCAACTAGTTGTCTAACATCACACTAAAGCAAGAACTTGCCAGAATTAGACACTGGAGTTCTTAGCCTAATTACCATATGCCTCATCACCCAAAAGTAATTATCTGTAAGAATTATGACAACAACTCAGGAAGAAATCTAGAATGTACCAGAGCCAGAGAACCATATTATTGAAATGATAATTGAAGATCATCTACTTCAACATCCTACTGTACAGATAAGGAAACCGAGGCCCCAAAAGCTTATGTAAGTTAATTGTTCAAAGTTAGACTTCTAGGCACAATAAAACAAGAATTAACTTAGCACTCTCTAATCCAAGTTCAATGATCTTTAATTAATAGAGTATTACAACTATCCCAAATTTTGGGGTTTATCAAAAAGCCTCAATGTTTTCACTGTTAATTATTAGCATATCATTCATTCAACAAATAATCATCTAGTACATATTATGTTCCAGGCCCTGTATTTGGTGCTAAATCTTTTTTTTTTTAAATCATTCAGCCCAAAATGTCACTAATGCTAAATCTGACCAAATATTTACTATGTGATAGGCACTGCGTTATCTGTATTTTCACATTTAATCCTCACAATACCATTACAAAGTTAAATGCAATTATCTCTATTTTAAAGATTAAATTTAAGAAGATTAAGTAATCTGCCTATGGTTTCCAGTAAGAAAATACCTTTATAAAAAGTAAATGGCATAAATCAAATATAAGTTTATTCTAACAAAATTCTGAGTTTTTTTGGTAAATATACTACAACTCTGTACATGGTTTCATTTGAAAAGAGGCTCTATCATCAAAAAAGCTTAAAAATCACCAGCCCCTACATACCACCTAACACTGACCATACAGTAGATGTAGAACTGGGTATTAGATTATAGGTTGGGAGCCCCATTAAATATCCGGGGTTTTTTTGTTTTTTTTTTTTAAGAGACAGAGTCTCACTTTGTTGCCCAGGCTAGAGTGAGTACCGAGGCATCAGCCTGGCTCACAGCAACCTCAAACTCCTGGGCTCAAGTGATCCTACTGCCTCAGCCTCTGGAGTAGCTGGGACTACAGGCATGCACCACCATGCCTGGCTAATTTTTTGTATGTATATTTTTAGTTGGTCAAGTAATTTCTTTCTATTTTTAGTAGAGATGGGGTCTCGCTCATGCTCAGGCTGGTTTCGAACTCCTGACCTCGAGCAACCCACCCACCTCGGCCTCCCAGAGTGCTAGGATTATAGGCGTGAGCCACCACGCCCGGCCTAAATATATATCCTTTTTTTTCTTGTACTTTCCAAGACCCTCAAATAGGCAGCACTGCAGTAATCTAACTGAAAGCTACTTTTTAGGAAAGTGGTCATTTCAAGTAAATAGAGGACAAAAGGAAGGGCTTTTGGTACCATCTTATAATGAGTTTTGGCTTGGAGAATATTATATAAGAGCCAAAGCAGAAAAAATACATGAGTTCTCTTAAATATTACCCACAAAATAGCACTACAGTAGTGGTTACCTACTTTCAGAGCATAAAATCTCTGTAGTATATGATTACATTAATTAAAAACTTCATTTACCATCTTTCCCAGCAGGAATTCCTTTATCTTTGATTGCTAAGATTTCCCAAGGCCTATAACAAAAAACCTGAGTGCTAAGCAGTATGACCAATAGAGATTTGTTTTATTTGTTGTTTATTCCTGAAATAGAGTCTTGCTCTTTTGTCTGGGCTACAGTGCTATGGCATCAGCCTAGCTCACAGCAACCTCAAACTCCTGGGTTCAAGCAATCCTCCTGCCTCAGACTCCCGAGTAGCTGAGACTATAGGTGTACACCACCATGCCTGGCTAATTTTTTCTATTTTTAGTAGAGACAGGGTCTTGTTCTTGCTCAGGCTGGTCTCAAACTCCTGAGCTCAAGCAACCCTCCCACCTCGGCCTCCCAGAATGTTAGGATTACAGGCATGAGCCACCTTGTCCAGTCCCGATGGAGATTTAAAAAAATAAACTTTGTAAATAAATGAGAACCTGATGATATTCTTAAAAGCAGCAATTACCCTAGGGCCAACTTATAAGGAAAGAAATGTGAAATATAACTGGAGCAAAGGAAAATAATTTTAGGGGAAAATTATTAAAATAATAATTTGGGGGGAAGATTAATTTTACAAAGTGGTCTACTATTTTGGGAAATACTGGTAAAGGGAAATCAAATCAAGAAATCGTAAAAAATAAATAAATAAAAAGAAGAATCTGCCTTTTCCCTACCATACAGTAAGTTTGTATCCTAGCTATACTTGTGTAGGTATCAGAGACTAAGAAAAATGGTAAGTAATCAATCACAGCAGAATTAACTACATGCAGTATTTCTAATGTAAATGATTACCTGAGAAGTCTGTCAGAAGTCTCACTAGGACATGCTTGTTTACCAGCTCAGTCTTGCTAAGGTTGGAAATAATATCTACCCTAGTAGTTTCTTTGATAGCGGGGGGCTTTCTGGAAATCCCAAGATCAGATCCGGTCTTGACATCTGTATGTTCTAGGATGTCGCATGATCTTTGTGGCCATTCTGCAGTGAATGTGAAAGTTGGCTTGAGTATTTCTTCAGAAGGAGATTCTACTTCATGCTGTGACTTCTCAGCCTGTCTTTCACCTAATTCTTCAAGGGCTTTGATTGTGAGCTGTTCCTGTTCTAAGTCAAGAGATGCTACCAGACCACCTCGGGTAGGGAAAACACTCAGAAGCTCACTTCCATTTGTTTCTTTGCTCTGTTTGTTGTATTTGCTTCTAATGTCTTTAATTTCAGAACCACTTGACTTACTTTCATGCAAAATTTCTACAGGAAGAGTCGTTTTAATGTCTGTCCTCTGCTCTGATATTGCTTCAAAGGCATTTCCTTCACCTTTATCTATGGTTCCTTTCTCTCTGATTTCTGTAAAGGCTGCTATCAAGTCCTCTGGGGAGGAATCATCTATATCTTTAACATTTTTCCCATGTAATGACTTCAAATAGGCAGAAGATGTCACATTTAGTGAGAATTCCTTCTCATTAAAAACATCTGGAGATGCTATTGAAGTAAGTGTGGGGTTCTCAGTTGCAACAGGCTTTTCAGGAGCAACTTCACTCATACTATCTGACTGATTTACATCTTCTGATGAGACATTTGTATTGGGTACTTGTGAACATGCCTCCTCACCGACTGCACTCCTTCCAAAAATATCAGGCTGAACTTGACATGGCTCAGAGTCACTAACCAACTCTTCAAAGTTTTCCCTCTTACCATTGGGAATCTCTTTGATTTCTCTTTCACCTGTTTTTACAACCACACTTACAATGGAAACTGGTTTTTCAGTGTGAATTTTGTTATTTTCAAACAATATATCTGCTGTAATATCCTCTATTACTGTGTCATCGGATTCACCAGAACTATCAACCTCTGTGATTTCTCCCATCACAGGGCTCTGCCAGTTCATTTCATCTTTCAGGTGGTCATCAGGGAAATCTACTTTCGCTGTCACCACTCCAGAACCCAAAGAAACACATCTCTCAAATGGTGGCCCAGGTAACTCTGAAAGCGTGCCATTAGATTTCTGCACAATGCCTTGCATGCCTTTGATAATGACTTCCTTTGTGGAATTGACATCATCTGGTATACGTTTTCCAACAATAGCATTTTCTTGTGGAAGAGATGTTTCTGCCCAATCACCTGTTGATTTAGTGATGGGAGTGTTCCCATTAATAGAACATACAGGAATTTTCTGAAGAGTGTTAGTTTTAAGACTTACAACTGGAATTTCTGAATTACATTTACTCATGTCAAGTCCCGTAGTTTTTGCGATGTGGTCATTAGATTTATCAGTCTGTTGTTTCACTTGAGGAACCAAATCCCAAGTCAATATTTCATTAGTAAAGTTATGCATATCATTCACACATCTAGACACCTCTTCCAGTGCTGCAGTTGTGTGTGAAAACTGTCTTGTGAACAATGCAGAGATGGGGTAACGCCCTGCCTCTTTATTTCTCAGTGGAAATACTTTGTCATTAGTCTCTGAAATGTCTTCGGATGACTCTCTATCAGTGTTCACTGACCAGCTACCAAAACCATTTGTGTTCTCTTTATATGAGTCTTTAAATTCTTTGTCAAATGCTGCTTTGTCAATAATTATTTCAAATGGCGATTCAGGGGAATCCTTTTCAATAACACCACCTCCTGAAACTTTGGTTGGGGACAAAGAATATGTACAAACGTTTTCTGCCTTAGACAGCTCAGTCGGGGGTTTCTGGGCTGTTAGCAAAGTGAATCTGTCATTAGCATCCAATGCAGTTTTATCCTCTTTACTTGGTACCTCATTTGGGTTCCTGGACTCTTGGTCTTTATTTATTTGCTCTTCTATTTGACCAACTTCCTTTGAGGGAAAAGCAGAATGCTCTAGGAAACTGGCCGGAATGGAAGGATGGTTACAGTGAACTCCTGCTGCAAGAGAAACTGTAGAGTTTGCTATGTTACTGCTGGTCCCCTGAGGCTTTTCCATCTTTTTCGTATCTGAAAGAGCCAAGTGGTCTTTTCCTTTCATGTCTAAAAAGGGCTGGCTTGCTAGTATTTCGCTTTTTTCTCCATGTAGTGTTGTAAGGTCAGTGTTATATATTTCAGAAGATGAAAGAAAGGAAGAAGTCATAATTTCTGAAGGTGGTGCATCAGAGCAAAGAGAGGTCAATCCCTCTATGGTTAGAATTTGAAAGAAAATTATTGTTTACTAGGCACAATTACACATTAGCTGGTCAGGCCAAGCAGCATGCTTTTTATTTTTTAAATTATATAAAGATACACATACACACACACATACACAGAGAATGTATATATATATACACATACATATAAACACATAAATGATCAACAGTTACCCTAACAAGACATGCATAAAATTGTCAATGGTGAAACAAAAAAAGCCATATCATGCTACGAATTGCAAATGACAAAAAGTTTTCTCAACAAATATTTTTCAATCAGTCTACATTTTCCACTGCAAAGGTAAAGTATAGAGAAGGGCAATAAGATTGGGAAATCTTTTTTTTTTTGGAAGACCTATTTAACAGAAGCAACATAATTCATATAAAACAAACAATTTGATATTAAGAAGCACTGATACACCTCCATCTGCAAGCTGAACAATTCAGAACAAACTGCCTCTATAAATCTACTGTTATAGTCTCACAATCTGAGAAGGAAAAAAATGTGGCCAGAGCTTTAAAAAAATTATAATTTCAAAATATTAAGGGGTAGAGTTCTTTTTTTTTTGACAGAGTCTTACTCTGTTGCCTAGACTAGAGTGCAGTGGTGTCATAGCTCACCGTAGCCTCAAGCTCCTGAGCTCAAGTGATCCTCCCACCTTAGCCTATAGTATAGCTGGGGCTACAGGTATGAACTGCCACATCCCACTAATTTTTCTATGTTTAAAATTTTTTTTTAGAGATGAGTCTCACTATGTTGTCTAGGCTGGTCTCCAACTCTTGGACTCAAGTGATCCTCCTGCCTTGGCCTCCCAAAGTGCTGGGATTACAGGTGTGAGCCACCATATTGTAAAATAGAAACTATCATTCTTAAGGCAATACATTAAGTCTTATCAGTTATTAATGCCACAGTAGCCATTCATTTACCACAGTGCTTTCTAATTTTCCAAACTAACAAGTTTTTATTGGGGAAAAAGATCACAACAACCATCCCAAGGGCAAGTGCTTCCTTGCACAATGTTGTATTTCTAGAGCTAGAACAAAGTAGGTCTTAAATAAATGTTCCAAATAAATGAATCAAAGATTCAGCTTGGTCAGGTGAGACCTAAGTAGGCTCAGGAAAGTGATGCCTTGAGCACAATGATTAATTGGGAATATGAAAGAGAAATTCCTGAGATTACTCTTACTCAGCTTATGTTCTTTTTTTCATGTAAGAATTTGAATATTAGGTAAAAGCAAAATTATGACTTCATTCAAAATTATTTTATTAAAGATGAAAATAAATCTTAGTATAATAAAATTCCACTATTATAAAAATGTTTCGAAATGCCATACAAAGTTCAACATATCACTGAAATTTGATGCAATACAATCTGAGCTTTTGAAATAGTATAATTGGTATCTGGGTAGTGGAAAAAAGGTAAATTGAAGAAAAACTGTTAAGGTTTGGTGGCAATAGAGTAAATTGTAACACTGAAAAAAAATAATTGAAGTAAACTATCACTCATATTTAGATTTAGTTCTGAAGTAGTAAACATGGTTTAAACCCATCATTATATATATGGATATTCAGCATAATTGTATTACACGTAAGACAGAAATGAAGCCCAACACTGTAGGTTAAAAGATTCAAATAACTGAATATTCCACAATCTGAATCATGCATTATTATTGAATTCACTGGTCGGTGTTTCTACCAGAAAACATTTTATGAACTAAATCTGGATTCAGGTAAAATGTAAAATTGCTTGGGAACCTCTCCCTTCAAACATAAATGGAACTTTGGGGTGAATAAAACTGACTCCATCTCACACAGAAGGCTAAGCTTACATGTTTTATAGAGATAGAGATTTCAGATCTGTCATCTTACAGATGAAAATCAACAAAATGAATTAGTAATAATTCAACAAATTGAGGAGTGGGGTAAAAAAATAATTCAACAAATATTTACTGAGTGCCTACCATGTGCCAGAAACTATTTTAGAAACTGAGTTTCAAACAGTGAACAAAACAGAAAAATATCTTGCCTTTATGGAACTTACAATACAGAGGTAGAGACAGATAATAAGCAAAATCAATAAGCAAAATGATGATGACGTAGTGGTCGTGGTGATGGTGCTCAATGAAATGAAAAAGAAAGTAACCTAAATGAAACGCTCATCAAAGAATGCACACATCCCCAGGGGAAAAAACATGGCAAAAATGTCCTATGCTTTGTCAGGACACAAACTGGTCAATCTGCCAACCAAATCTTGCTTCTCTTATATCTTCCTTGAACTCTTAGTACTCCAAAAATTACAAGATAGGTGTAGAATAATCTGAGGTAAAACTAGAAGATCAGAGCAGAATTATTCTCAGAATACCAACAGGTCCTCTACCGAGTGCTATGACTGCCTGACAGACTTCAAATATTTTGTTAAAAGTTCTTTAATATAACCATTATATTAAGCTTAGAGAGTAAACATAGCTCGATGCTGCATTCACTCCTCAGTGATTGTGAGATGCAGGTGCTAGCTCTCATTATTGTCAACCAAGTTTTACAACTCATAGAAAAATAAAACAGCATCCTCACTGTGCTTAATTTTAATTATCTTTAATTATCAGCAAATGAAATGACTTTGGCTAGCTGAAACCCTAACTAACTTGGACAGAGCTGAGCTGTACCAAGACAATGGAAAAAATTGGGCTGGAAGTAAAAAGTTTATAAAGGCATGAAAACATTAAATAGAACAAAGATGAGACTCTAATAAGCCTTAAAGAACAGCTCCAATAAGCAAAGACTCTTCCAATTAGTCAGTATGGCACTTAACAGTCATTGGTGTTGCCCAGGTCAGTACCTGGTGAAACGGCAGAAAATGCCAAGGAATCTGAGGGTTGTTAGTTCTTAAAACACTATAAACTACAAAACTGGCTGGCAGAATAACACTGGACAATTTTACATCTTAGAAAATGTCCACTACCTTTCCTTTTTCAAAAGATTCATCCCTTCACACACACTACAAGAGACTTTCAACATTATTCAAAACCAATCTCGGCCAGGTGTGGTAGCTCATGTCTGTAATCCTAGCACTCTGGGAGGCTGAGGCGGGTGGATTGCTTGAGGTCAGGAGTTCGGAACCAGCCTGAGCAAGAGCGAGACCCCCATCTCTACTAAAAATAGAAAGAAATTAATTGGCCAACTAAATATATAGAAAAAATTAGCCGGCATGGTGGCGCATGCCTGTAGTCCCAGCTACTTGGGAGGCTGAGGCAGCAGGATTGCTTGAGCCCAGGAGTTTGACGTTGCTGTGAGCTAGGCTGACGCCATGGCACTCACTCTAGCTTGGGGAACAAAGTGAGACTCTGTCTCAAAAAAAAAAAAAAAAAACTCTATCAAAACTCTCATTATGAACATTTTCTAAATTAGTTATTTGCTATAATGGGATTTAATGTGCATATTCATTTCAAGAGTTCTAATCACTTAAAAATATGGGGTTACTCTAATTATTAGTAAATAAGGTTATATATCTAAATTTATTTAAAAGGGAATCAGGCAAGGCACAGTGGCTCACACCTGTAATCCTAGCACTTTGGGAGGCTGAGGCAGGATCACTTGAGGCCAGGAGTTTAAGACCAGCCTAAGAATCATAGTGAGATCCTGTCTCTACAGAAATTAAAAAAAAAAAAAAAATACCTGCTATTACACATCCACTGGAATGGGGGGGGGAGAAGAAAAATAAAATTAATAAATTAAATTTAAAAAAGAGAAAAAAAAGAAATAAAAAAATAAATTAGCTGGGCTTGGTGGCTCACACCTTTAGTCCCAGCTATTTGGGAGGCTAAGGTAGGAGAATTGTCAGAGATTGCAGTGAGCTGTGATGACGTTACTGCAGTCTAGCTCAGGCAACAGAGCAAGTAAATAAATAGGGAATCAATACATAGTAAGAGGTGAAAAATGTCATATCCCCACAATGATGAGCATGTTCTCAAACTTATCAAATACTCAGTTCCATGCTTATTCCTACATCTTCTTAAACTCTAAATACCCAGAAGCTTCCATTTAGGTATATTATCTAAAATAGGACTAGGAATTAAGTTGGCAGTCATATTCTAAATTTCTACAGGACTCCCAAACCAAAAATTCCTGTTGAAAGATACAAAGTCCTTTCATTGAGCTTACTAATCATGTAGCTTTAGGCAAGTTACTTAATCTCATTTCATCAAATTCTCATCAAAATGTCGATATTGGCTGGGCAAGGTGGCTCATGCCCGTAATCCTAGCACTCTGGGAGGCCCCGAGGTGTGCATATCACTCAAGGACAGGAGTCTGAAACCAGTCTGAGCAAGAGAAAGACCCCATCTCTACTAAAAATAGAAATTAATTGGCCAACTAAAAATATAGAAAAAATTAGCCTGGCATGGTGGCACATGCCTATAGTCCCAGCTTCTCGGGAGGCTGAGGCAGGAGGATCGCTTGAGCCAAGGAGATTAAGGTTGCTGTGAGCTAGGCTGATGTCACAGCACTGTAGTTTGGGCAACAGAGTGAGACTCTGTCTCAAAAAAAAAAATGTGGATATTAAAGCACCTAACTTTAGAATTGCTGTGAGGATTCAATGAGTTAACACCTGTTTAGAATAGTATCTGGTGGCCGGGCATGGTGGCTCATGCCTGTAATCCCAGCACTTTGAAGCTGAGGTGGGTGGATCTCTCAAAGTCAGGAGTTCAAAACCAGCCTGAGCAAGAGCAAGACCCCATCTCTACTAAGAATAGAAAGAAATTAAATGGCCAACTAAAAATATATAGAAAAATTAGCCGGCCATGGTGGTACATGCCTGTAGTCCCAGCTACTTGGGAGGCTGAGCCAGAAGGATTGCTTGAGCCCAGGAGTCTGAGGTTGCTGTGAGCTAGGCTGAGGCACTCTAGCCTGGGCAACAAACAGAGTGAGACTCTGTCTCAAAAAAAAAAAAAAAAAAAAAAAAGAATAGTATCCGGCACTTAGGAAATCCCCAATAA